GCTGCTGCCTGCTGGTCTCCTAAATCTCCCTTCAGTTCTTTACATTCTGGGATTGGTTTTCCATCTTGATCTTGTTCCCCAGTCCTTCACCAGAGGCTTCTTTGTGCACAGTCACCACAAGGAGGGGTTAGTGTGAATATGGAGCAGGTTCCCAGGCCTGTGTGGGCCTGGGGTGGACATCAGAGAGAGACAAGGCATAAAGTATAAGTCCCTGCAGGTTTCTCAGAAGCTCAAGCAATTCCCCAACCCATACCTGGGCCAGAGGAACAAGGACTCCAGTTTAGGCCTTTGTTCATGATGCTGGGTGGACCTACTCCTGGAGGCCCAGGATTGCTCTGGCTCCTGAGCCCATGTCCTGTGCCCGTTCCCCCTGGACTAGAACCAGAAAATCCATAGAGACAGGAAGAGATTAGCAATTAGAAGGGAATGGGCCAGGGAATGGGGAGTGACCACAAGTGAGTATGGCCTTTCTTTTTAGAGTGATGAAAATGTGCAGAAAGTAGCACAATTAGATAATTCCTCCGTGGAAATACTAAAAGACCACTGAGTTGTACTCTTTAAAAGAGTTTTATGGAAATTATATTTCAGAAAATTAGAGAATTGTAAATTTACTGATATAATCTATATGCCATAAAATACACCTGCTTAAAACATAGGGTTCAACAACTTTTGACAAATTCCCCATAGTACCATCCCCCAAACAAAATAGAGGACCTGTTCATTAACCCAAAAAGCTCTCCTGAACGCTTTCATCACTTTTTATCCAACTAAGCTGACTAGAATAGAAAATAACAGTCTTCAACACCTTCAATAAGGGTATTATTTCTTAAGATTCTAATTTCAGTTCTAATCCACGATGCACATGTGCACACAATGAGATGAGGATATGGGTCTCTGTACAAGAAGTCTGAAAGCAGCTGTTGAAGTCACTGATACCAGTTGCAGAAACGGCCTCATTCATCCCAAAGACTGCCACGTTCCAGGCTCTTTGCAAAGCACTAAGCCATGTAACCTTTAATCCTTAACAGTGCCTTGTTGCCTCCATTCCACAGTTGGGGAGATCTAAACTTTGCACCCTGGAAGCCAAATACATCTGACCACAAACCATTATACATAATGCATAATGCCTTGATTGCCTTTCCGTGGACTTATAGCACCAGCTGAAATGTCAAATCCTGGGCACACAGAGCATTGGTCCACCTGAGTTAATTCATTTAAAAGATAATAATATAAGAGGAACAAATAATAGTAGGGAGACACACATGCCTGCCTCCAAGGAACCTGCAGTCCAGGATAAGGCATCTGTGCCCCGCAGACAGTGAGGAAGCCAAGGAGAGAGGAGCTGCTGCCTCGTTCTTGTTTGTGTCTAGGTGTGATTGGCATATGGCTCACAGCTGGTGAGCTGGCTTTATCACTGTGCAGTCACCAGGAATGTCACCCCAGTCTCTCTGTGAGACAGTCCTGGACATCAGACCAGGTGGAACCTGCAAAACCTCCTTCAGGGCCCAGAGGAGCCCTGGGTGATACCCACAGTCCAGTGGTTGCTGGGAGGAGTAGCAGGGGTGCAGGGTGTTGGAAACCTTAGGGCCCCCGAGAGCCCTGCAGGACCCTCCTATGGAGCAACTTCCAGGGATGGGATTGGCAGGGCAATATTGACAGCCTAGCATTTCTTGGTCAGGAGGGTCTTGGTCCCTCGGGCTGCCTCCCTGATACATGGTAACTCTTTCCAGCCTCTTCAAGAGCCCGGAGAATGGCTCTGGTTTTTCCTCCCTCTTTGATTCATTGCTAGCTGATAGGTCTGTTTATCTCAGGACCTAGACTCCCCGTTTGTTAGATTCCTTGGCAGAGAAAAATCTGGACCACTAGGAAGGATCTTGAGCTTCCCTGTGCTCAACACGCCCACATGGTCTGAAAAGGCAGTGGACCCCCAGAGGAGCTGAGTTTTCCTCCAAGGAGCAGCCATGATCCCAGGTACCACCGGCTTATTGGGGTCTTCTCAATGTGCTGAACTGGCCCCACCAGTTGGGCATGGTACGGTAAGAATGAGAACCAGACAGACACAGACCTGCCATCCATCATCTGTACAACCATGGGCAATTTACCTAACCTCTCTGAACTGCAGTTTCTTCATCTCAAAAACAAAAACAAACAGAAAGCAACACACACAAAAGAGGCTGATTGCTTGAGTCTTGACAGGCGATTGTAGGATGAGATCAAAATGGCACTTAATACATGTCAGTTCTCTTTCTCTCGTCTCACCTGCCAAAAATGTTACCATTCTGTAGAGACAAGGGCAGCCAAGCAACTTTCCCTTACGGAGGATTCATATTTTATTTTTGAAGGGCAGGAACAGGAAATTTTGGGCTTGGAAGAACATCTTGACTTTGGCCCCTCTAGCTTGTGTTAAGGTTCCTATGGGGTCTTGACAGCCTTGCACGCCCATCCACTGATTCACTCCCCAGATACCTGTTAAGGTCTGGATGAGGCTGGGCTGAAACTGGGAACCAGGAATGCAATCTGGGTCTCCCCAGATTGTAGCAGCAATGAAACCACTTGAGCCATCGCTCTAACGCAGCCTCCTGGGATATGGATCAGAAGGATCTGGAGCTGGGATTCAACCCAGGTGCTACAAAATGGAAATATAGGTACCTCACCCAGCAACCCTTGAAAGTTCAGCTTATAAATTAGATACATCAAGAGACTAACAATAACACCTGATAACTACACAGAACTACCACAACAACCTATTATAATAAAAATTGTGGGAATGTGGTATCACTCTCTTTCAATATATCTAGAGAAATTAACAAGTGAGTAGTGCATACAGCAGGGATGCCTGTACAAAGGGATGAATTCATGTCCATGGAGGATGGTGGACAGAGGGAATGGCACAAGATTTTATCATGCCACTCTGAAGAAGATTGTTTATTTCTGGAAGTTTCTATCTCTTATCTTTAGACTATGGTTGATGACAGCAACTAAAACCATGAAAAGCAAATCTGAAGATAAGTGGGAACCCATGTACAGATTATTTGTATTTATTAACCTATAAGTTAATATATAATACATATGCTATGTCTATATTGACACTGAATAAATTATCTTTTCTCATTCAAGAATGATTCTAATAGCTGTGCAATTTGGAACTAGCTACTTGCTGTCTCTGGACCTCAGTGTCTGGATGTACGGAATAGGTGAACTCCCTGACACCCCTCCCGGCCCCTTTCCCTCTCCTCCCTGCCCCACTGGGGTTGCATATGTTCTGGTTTCAGCTCCAAGGCTGCCAACCTGGAGATGTCTCTGATCACGTCCCCACCACCCTCATACAGATCACTTCAGCCTGTTCCACACTCATCCTCGCACTTGTCATTGTCTAGAACCATCTGGGCCCTTGTGTGCCTGTTGCTAAGTACCTAGTGCCTAGAAAACAGCCTGGCAAGTGGCTGGCCCACAGCACACATTTGTTAAATATCGGACCCTGTGACTTGTGTTGGAAGCATGAATCAAGGATAGCCAGGTCAGATCCCTCTTTGTGTTAGAGCTTCTAATATGTAAGTGTCTAGACAGTCCCTTTATTTTTGGCATTTTTGGCAAAGTGAATTGCTTCTGGAATTTAACAAAACCAGACAACGCCTGTCTCCCTCAAGCCCTCGCCAACGCTGTGCCACCTCTTTGTGAATCTGCTGAGATGCCTGCTGCCCCAGCCTTTCATGAAAAAGACGCGTGGATGACACTGGAAGATTCTCCAGCCTGCAAAACTCTGCCTTCTGCCAGAAGAAGCCTTGGGAAGCAAGGGTCCCTGTTTGGCAGCAGGACGGACACGTGGGACTCATTTAGGCATGAGTTGGGCAAGAAATGCTGGCCCCTGGAAGTGCTAAAGAAAAGGAATTTTAAGATTCACACTGAAAAGAAAGCTGGTGCAGGGGTGAGGGTGAGGGATGGAGGAGGGTTGGAGGGGGCTCAGCTTCCTCCACCCAAGGGATCTTAACTTACTAGGGTGGAGATTAAATGTTGAATTTAGGGGTGTGTAAGCATCTGCTTTTTAGGAGGATATCTACCATTTTTATCTGGGGTACAACTGGTTCTGTGACCCCAAAACTTAACCTGGGTTCTGAAAGGCATGCCACCAGGCTGGAGATTCATCCCCATCCTAAACATGACCTGAACTGAAACAATCACGAGAAAGGAAAAGTGTTTTGTGCTCCAAAGTAAACAAAAGCCACTTCCAACAGGAATTGGCTGTCACATTCTCTGCAGTCGGAAAAAAAAATCAACAGTGTCCGCCCAGCCTGCAAAGGCCCAGCCCTTAAGCCCAGGTCTCTAGGGAGGCCAGTGAGCCTTTGTTTTCCAGTCTGTGGGCAACTAGCTGGGCAAGGAGCCAGCTGGGAGAGACCTTCATGAGAGAAAAGCCGCTGTGCGCCCAGCAGCTGTACAGCTCAAAGCGCTTCACAGTGGGCTGTGGCAGGCATTGGTGGGAGCCCCACCGTGTCCATGGCTGATGCCGAGCTCTCTTGCTGTGCTCCTGACTGTGCCTCAGTCATGGTTGTTAACCTACTCCCTGTTGATGCTCAGGAACCTTTCTGCTTTTCTGAGTAGACCAGGGACCCTGAACGATTGGCAAGCCCACGGTTCTCCCTGGGGCCTTGTAGGGCATCTGCTTTATTCAAGGCCAGGTCCCATTTGGTGTTCAGCAGACGCGCTTTCTCTCTCTCTGGCTCTCCTGCCTTTAATTGAAAGGGGAGGACCTGGGATGTGGCAGAAGTCCCAATAAACACTGGAAGGATCCTCATGCGAGAGCGAGAAGCCAGCATGCTGCGCCAGCATTTGGTGTAGCCTCCAGGGAGAGTGCCGTCTACACTAGTCCCTGGTTTTGGAGAGGCAGGCCCTGCTGTCAGCCTTCCCATAAGCCCCAAAGACTCTCACTAGGTTTTAAGCTGTTCCTTTGCAGTGTCTGCATAGGTCTACCTTTAATGCAGCCCCAAATCCATCTCTCTTCCCAGCTTCCCTTGCTCAAGAAACAGCACCATTACCACCTGGAGGCTGGATGTTGGGGTCCCAGCTTTAGCAGCAGCTCCTCATTGGAAAGACTCTCCCAGGTATGGGCACCCAACACTCAAGCATGTTCTCCCCACCCCTACCCATTGCCAGGCTGCCGATGGACTGCACTTGATAATTCTTTTGTCTCCCACTCATTCTGTGATATCCAGGAGCCTGGGCACAGTAACATGCTCCATTTGCATCTTCAGTCACTCCCACCTTTCTCCCGCTCCAGTCCCTGCGTTGGGAGACAGTACTCTGTACTAGGTGTACCTGCAGACTCTGCAGTTCACACCTGCTGGCTCCATCTACCTTCCCTGGCTTCCAGCTGTGTATCCCAATGAGAGGCACAAGAAGGTGCCAGGAGGCTCACTTCCTGCAATGGTGCCTGGCTGGGGCTCTGCAGGGTTCTAATAATCGCTTTATCCCTGTGCCCTGTTAGACTAGGGTGGCCTGCCCTACAATGAGCACTTCACTAGAGCTTCTTTCCCCACTACCTGCACCTCTGGCAATAGCCCCCTTCAGTACACTGTCCATTTTGAATGGCTAATTTGTGACCTACCAGGACCCCAACAAGGGCTCTGACCAATAAAGGGGCCAAATCTTCACTTTTATTTACTTTTATGAAACTGTATTTGAAATAGAGAAAGTGATCTTCCTTCCATTGGTCCATTCACTAAATGGCCACTCTAACCAGGCCTGTGTCAAGCTGAACCCAGGAGCCCAAAACTCTATCTGGGTCTCCCATATGGGTGGCAAGAACCCAACTGCTGTGCATCAGAGGGAACCTGGATCAGATCCAGTCCAAGGTACTAATATGGGATATAGGCATCCCAAATGGCAGCTTAACACATTCATTGCACTATAACACCTGCCTCAATTTACATGTTTAAATGAAAATATCAATCATATATCATAATACTCATAAAAAATGAAGACATAATTCTGATTTTTGGTGTATTCACAGACCATCACCTCAGTCAAATTTCTGTCTCTATGGATTTTCCTCTTCTGGACACTTCCCATCAGAGCAGTCATACTTTACGTGGTTTTCTGCATTTGGTTTCTCTCACTCAGCATCACCAGTCAAGACTCACCTATGTTGGCATCCCACTCAGTGTTTCAGTTCTTTTCAGGGCTGAGTAACATTCTGTTACTCTTAGATCGTGTCGCCCTTTTGGTTGTTATTAATACTGCTTCCATGAAAATTGGTGCATGAGTTTCTGTGTGAACTTGTGACTTCAGTTTTCCTTGATATATACTGAGGAGTAGAGTTGCCAGGTCATATGGTTGCTCCAAGTTTAAATTTCCGGAGAACACTGCATTTTAAATATCTGTGTGTTGCTATCAGAGTTCTGGTGCAGCAGATCAAGCATGACAATTGGGATTCTGGCACCCATATTAGAGCATTGGTTCAAGTTCCAGATGCTTTACTTCCAATCTATCTCCCTGCAAATGAGCCAGGGAAGGCAGCAGAAGATGGCCCAAGTACTTGGATCCAGCTCTAGCAATGCACATTTGGGGAATGAACCAGTAAATGGAAGATCTCTTTGTTTCTTTTTCTTTGTCTTACATTTCTGTGTGTCCATAGCACTATACAATGGTTGATTAAGCAACCTCAGATACTGGCATCTACCTATGTGGGAAAGAACCCAAAGATGTGGAGCAAGGGAAGTCTTAAACTCTGGAGATCCACCCATAGGCAGACATCTGAGAGACATTTCTGTACATATGCACCTAACTATACAGAGAACAATACTCACAGTGTTATCATCTTAAAAATGCAAATAACTCAATGTCTGTAAGTAGTAGATTGGATAACTACATTGTGGTCTATACATCAAAGAAAATATACAAAGTATCACTACATGTTGAAAGAAACAAGTCACCAAAGAATATTCATAGTTTGATCTCACTGTCTTAAAGTTCCCAAACAGGCAAAACTAAATGATGTGGCTTAAAGTTGCAAATATAGGTGGGAAAAACTATAAAAATTATTGTAATTAGGAGGACATTGGTTCCCTCTGGTAGGAGGAGGTAGACGGGTTAAGGAGAGCTACAGGAAGGTCTTCAGGAGCTGTTACCAATTTTCTAGTCCTTGTCCTGGATATGGGGGGGATCATATTGAATGGCGTGTGGCTGCATTAGTTAATTTTCCTTTGCTATAACAAAATGCTTCTATAGAACTTATAGAAAAGAGAGACTCACCATTTTGGAGACTGATAGTTCAAGCAGCATGGTACAGGCACTTGCAAGGCCTTTGTGGCAAACAGCATGGTGGCAGAAGCGCATGTGGGAGGTAGATCAGATGGTCAGAGAGGACGCCAGAGAGCAAAGACAAGTCAGTTTCCTTCTTTGTAATAACCTACAGTTCAAGCAGAACTCCTAACCCCTCTTCAGAGAAGCACTTTCCATGATCCTCTCTAAGCCTTCTCTTAAAGTTTTTACCACCTCTTAACATTGCCCAACATTGCCCATGGACCAAGCTTCTAACATGAAACCTTCAGAGAACACACTCAATACATCCAGGCCACAGCAGGTGCTTACCTTCTTATGCTCTGAGAGTTTTATTTCACAATTCAAAAAGCATAGGCAGAACGGAACTCAACCTAGCTGCCAGGAAGCCTGGGTTCCAGAGCTGAAGCTGTATAAGGCAAGATATATTATTTAGTCTCAACATCCTTAACATCCTCTCCTTTAAAATGGGAAATAATAACTGCCACTTATTCAGGACTTGCTATTCTCAGGCACCTTTGAAGTGCTTTGACATAGGCTATATCAGTGGTCATTATGAGTCTCCTGGGCACAAGAAATACATAACTGAAGCCAGTGTAGGCAAAAACAAAACAAAACAAAAAGTCTAATGAAGACAAATGGTATGCAGGATATGGCCTGGAAATGGACTGAGGAGTTTCCAACTCTTTTCCGCTGCTTTTCTGTGTATAACTGTTATGTGCTCCTCCCTTTCTCTAGCTGTCTTTACATCCCAATCTGCATGTGAGAAAAATAACCACCCACAGCTCTCAGGTTTGTATCTTCTCCAACCCAGACGCCAGTTGGACTGAGCCTGGCATTTTCTCATATAAAGTACAGAGTTCTTTGAGGAGAGGACTCTTAACTGTATTCATGTGGAGCAAGTGTCCACCTCTGGTCCAATCAACAGTGGTAGAAGGCCAGAGTCTCATCATCACACAAAATGTGAGCTTAGGGACACCCTCCGTGGGACTAACTGGGATGCTTGTAGACAGCCTGTGGAGCCCTAATTCAGGGCAGATGTTTGGTCCTTAAAGGGCAGGTACTAGAACAGAGGAAAAGGCGAAAGAACAGAAAAGTCTCATCAAATGTTATTCAATCTAATCTTTGTAACAATCCCGTGAGGTAAGGTTGATGTCTCCATTTCACTGACAAGAGTATGAGAATCAACTTGGACACAAAGCTTCTCAACGTTTGGAACTGAACGTCTCTGTGGGGATTGGGGTAGTATGTGGAGGAGGGGGCTATGTACATTACATGATGTTTAGCAGCATCCTTGGCCTCCATGCACCAGACACCAATGGCATTCCTGCAGTTCTAACTATCAAAATTATCTCCAGAGGTTACCAAATGTCCCCTGCGGGTTGAGAACCATTGAAACAGGCTGAGTAAATTGTGCAATACCACTCCCTCAGTGAGCCAGAACCAAGACTCCAACCCAGGCTGCTCTGACTCTGAAGCCTGTTTTCCTGGTCATTGTCTCCTAAGTGATACTATCTAACTTACCTTACAAGTACGTAAGGATATAGATGAGACAGAACCTTGAAGAGCTAGGTCAAACAGAAACAGGAGATTGTTTGGTCTGCATTGTTCAGGTACTCCTAGTCCATGGGCTGCTCAATAGAGTAGGAACATCTCTATTAAGAATTAGAATCATCAAGAAAAATAATAAAAAACAAAAACAAACCAAAAAAGAATTAGAATCATCTTGTGCCTGGTCACCAACCAGTTGCACTCCCCAGTTAGCATCATAATGGGATCCCTTCCCATGTGGATCCCCCTCATGACTTGGCAGTTCCACATCTTGCCTTTACGAGTCCAATTCCACTCTGATAGTTTATGGTAACTTCCCTAAGTCAGGTTTCTTCTAGCAGAGCCAGGGTCATGTCTGTGGACACTGTGGTCCTCAAAGTTCCACACATCCTTCTTCCACAAATGACTGATCAACACATTACTCCTCTTGTGCCGTGAGATCTCAGGGATTCAGGCCAACTATATTCACAGTGGCCTTCTTCTTGCCATAGTTTCCTTGCAGTTAGTTTCTTGCCTGTAGTTTCCTTGTGGTGTAGCCTCCCACGGAGAACTTCTCTTTCTGAGAATGTCATTAGACAGAGGTCTCCAGGAACAGACTCTGACCTGTTTATTTTTATTCTGTTTTTTAACATTAATCGTGACTAGAACCTGAAAAGAACCATTGCCATTTGCAAGGCTTTGAGGCCTTTCCATGCAAACCAAAAGGGAAATTGTTGTGGCTGAGATAAGAGCAAGTTGGCCAGGCACTAGTGATATGAAAGCTTTGCTGTGGGCTCCTGGGTGTTTATCATGAAAGTACATTCCTCTAGCTTCGCTTGGCTGCCGAAAAACACAACCATGCTCCATATCCTTCTGGTCCAGATGTAAACAATTTGTTTTGAGGTCTGATTACAATATAATATCATTACATAAGCTTTTAAAATCGAAGTATAACTTGCAGGCACAGATGTATACAAATCGTAAGCATCCAGCTTGAAGGATTTATCCCAAAGTAAACACTCATTTAACCACCACCCAGATGGAGAAATTACCAGCATTCCAGAAGCCCCTCTCGGGCCCCTCCCAGGCACCAGCCCTACCCTCTCCTACAGGGAACCTCTATAATTTTGATCTTATGACCTCCATATTTTTATATATCTGATGGCCCAGATAATTATCTCTGGAGGCCAGAGTTAATCAGAAGCCGGCAGCATGATTTCCCTATGAGTCATTTCTCTTCAGAATTTATCAGTGAGGATGCTTCCAGCTGCAAGTAGGAAACTCAGATTGAAAGGTTTCCACGATAGGGAAAACTAGGGTCTCCTGCTGTGGGGCAGGCTTCAGCGTCCACTGGGTCAGCAGTAGGTTGACCAAGAACCACATTCTTGCAATCACTGCACTTGGCTGTCCTCGGTGTTGGTTTCATTCTTGGGCTGGCATCAGGAAATCCATAGCAATTCTTTCCCATGATTCTCTTTATAGAGAGGAAACACCTCCGAGAAGTTCCTCCACAGATGTCGGATTGGTGAAAACTGGGTCACATGTGTGACCAATCAGACCAGGGGAATGGGATGATCTCCAGTGTCTGGTACTTATTTGGGCTGGGCTGGGCTGGGTGTTAAGCCCATCCAAAACTCCCCATGGAAAGCCACATAATTCAATAGAATCAGCTTGAAAAAACCAATCTGGCTTACACTGCTAAAAGGTAATAAGGGTTAAAAAGAGTAGAGGTTTCTGGCTGAACATACAGTTGGTGAGTCAAGGTAAGAGGTAAAGTCTCTGTGAGAAAGAATAAATTGACCACAACAAAATAAACACAGCAGCTCTTGCCTTCTCTCCCTCTGTCTCCTCTTAACATCAAGATCCTTCCTCTCTGCTCTGCCTGTTTGGGTCCTGAGTCATAAACATATTTTTCAAAGTTACTGAGATAGTGTCTGTTACTGGTTAAGCACAGAACATGTTTTAGTATACACTTAGAACAAATCCTTCCTACCTCTTCACTAATCACCTGATAGACCTGATACATTGGGTATGCCACTGGGTGCTACAAGATGTGGGACTCACAGCTCAAAAACCCCAGATTCCTTCGGCCTCCTCAGTATCATCCAATAGCTACTCAGTCGTTCCACAGGTTTGAATATTGTCTCCGTTTCTCTGAAGGATACTGCAAATATGAGAGCTACACTTGTCTGTGTTTGAATATTCACCTTCTGAAGGTGCTGTGGTATGTATCATGACATTCCTTCCATCCGAGTGACAGTCACAACTATTCTTAGAACACTGGGTGAACTCCTGTTAGAAGAAGACTGTTACTCAAGAGCTGGGAAGGTCAGCTATGCTCATTAGTGGAAGACAATCAAAAGCAGTGCATAGAATGGCCATGTTTTTATTTTAAATGGTAAAATGTACACATCTGTGGATGATAGGACACCTAGTAAATGAATTTCAAAGATCAGTTTTCTCTCTTTTTTTTAAGATTTATTTTATTTTCATTGGAAAGTCAGATATTCGGAGAAGAGACAAAACAGAGAGGAAGATCTTCCGTCCATAGATTTTCTCCTCAAGTGGCTGCAATTGCCAGAGATGTGCCAATCCAAATCCGGGAGCCAGTAGCTTCTTCCAGGTCTCCCATGTTGGTGCAGGGTCCCAAGCCTTTGGGATGTCCTCAACTTCTTTCACAGGGAGCTTGATGGAATTGGTGCTGCTAGGGATTAGAACCAGTGCCCATCTGGGATCCTGAGCATGCAAGGCAAGGACTTTAACTGTTAGGCTACTGTGCTGGGCCTCAAAGGTCAGTTTTCATGATACGTATGTATATAATATTTTACACACATATGTGCTATGGATACCAGTAATTTCTTATTTTGATCGAGAAGATCTTCAGGGGCTGGTGTTGTGGTGTAGTAAGCCAGACCTCTACCTGTGGTGTCGGCATTCCATATGGACATTGGTTCATGTCCTGACTGCTCCACTTCCTATCCAGCTCCCTGCTTACAGCTTGGGAGAAATGGTGGACTATGTTGTGAACATTTGGGGAATGAATCAAAGTATAAAAGCTCTCTGTCTCTCCTCTCTGTAACTCTGCCTTTCAAATAAAAACAAATCTTTTAATTTTCTTTAAAAGATTTTCAATCAACTGAAACTGTTCTCAGCACCAAAGAGAAAGCACAAACACAACAGCAATTCCAGTCAATCAAAAAGCCAGTGGATCCTTCAGGAAAATATTTACCACAAAATTGACATTCCTGAGGAAATTGTTTTTTCTGAGGAAATTTTTTCACAAATGTTTCCAATAGTTTAACTGTACTATATATTTTATTTTAAGTTTTATTTATTTATTTGAAAGACATAGTGACAAAAAGGGAAAGAGAGCCAGAGCTGGAACAAGCTAAAGCCAGGAGCCAGGAACCCCAGCTAGGTCTCCAACATGGGTAGTGGCAGTGCAAGAACTTGGGTTACTGTCAGCTAGCTCTGAGGATTCACAGTGGCAGGACTCTAGACTGAAAGTGCAGAAGCTGGACTCTGATATGGGATGTGCAAATCCCAAACTGAAGTGCATTAATGATAATCATACTGTGCTGTGCCACTATGCCTGCCCTTGACTACACCACATCTGTAAGGCAACATATCCCAAACAGAATGCATACTATTATGTATAATTCTGAGAAAATATGTCAATAACACATTTGATTTTTTTTAAGATTTATTTATTTTTATTGGAAAGGCAGATGTACAGAGAGGAGGAGAGACAGAGAGGAAGATCTTCTGTCTGATGGTTCACTCCCCAAGTGACCACAATGGCCGATGCTGCACCGATCCAAAGCCAGGAGCCAGGAAAGTCTTTCCAGCTCTCCCAACTAGGTGCAGGATCCCAATGCTCCTTGACTGCTTTCCCAGGCCACAAGCAGGGAGCTGGATGAGAAGTGGAGCTGCTGGAGTTAGAACCGGTGCCCTTATGGGATCCGGGCACATTCACGGCGAGGACTTTAGCTGCTAGGATGGCGCCAGGTCCAACACACTTGATCTGTGTGAGCTTCAACCTCAGCATGTCTCAAGAAATGTAAAAATATTACATCTGAGCATCATCAGTCATCTTAGTTGCACTTAGAATAGCCAACCATCATTCAGTATTCCCTGGATACTTGATTTTTCATTTTTATTTAGATTTCAGATTTCAGTTTTCTCCCAAGCAGAGCCAAGGGTCCTCTAGCAAGGACCCTCAACATCTTGAGGAAATCTCTGTGGGCTGCACCTTTAAATGATCAAGGAGGCCGATTTTTAGAATGCTCTTTTTGATCATACCAGCAGAGGGCACATTTTTCACTGCTCTCAGCCCATTGACTACGCCAATCAAACAATGACCCCTGAGCACCAACTATGGATAGGGTGTTGTGCTGGGCACAGATTCCTGCCCTCAAAGAAACTCTAGTGTAACTGGGAAGACTAACACAAAATCCATTCAAGAGCAAAGAATGAAAGCACAGGCGTGTGTGACAGGCACTTAGGATGGAGAACTGATTTGAAGCAGACTGGAGTAATTTGAGGTCTAATGGGGAAAGTGAAGCTTGGACTGGACTTTGAAGTCTGAGCAGGGCCACATGGCAAACATGTGGTCCATATCCCAGCATTCTCTTCCTATCTCTGGCAGATATTACTAATAAATGCCTGAGTGGCTCCACTTCCTTTTGAGCCCAAAACAACACAGGCAGTCCGATCAATTGGGACCGGAACTCATGAAAAAACCCATTTGGCGGTAGGAACTAACTGGAAATAGGTGCTTGGCATTGGCTCATAGAAAAGGACTCTCAAGGGTACCAGAGCAAGGCAGAAATAGTTGAAAGTGGAAGTGGCTGAGTGAGAGTAGATTGTCAGATTAAACCCAATGGGTAACATTCAGTCAAATCACAGAGGATATAAAAAAGTAGGCAGTTCTTGAGTAAAGGATATCTTTAAATAAAACAACTGCTTGGAAGGTAAGAGTTACAACGAAACAGGAACCCTTAGATCTTAGACTATAAACCTGTGCCAGTCTAATCAGAGCAGTTTGGAACATGGTATAGAAAACTAACGAAATGCATATTCCATGACATCTAAATTCCAGAGTAAGATATTTAACAAATGAACAGCTAAGAATCCCTAGCACATTTTTAGAATAGCCATTAAAATAATATGAACAGCCCAGCTCAATAGCCTCATAGCTAAAGTCTTCACCTTGAAAGGGCCAGGATCGCATGAGTGCCAGTTCTAATCCCAGTAGCCCCGCTTCCCATCCAGCTCCCTGCTTGTGGCCTGGGAAAGCAGTCAGGGATGGCCCAAAGCCATCCTTGATCAACCTTGATGACCTGATCAAGGCTGTGGAGCTAACTTGGATCCATTAGCCATGGGCAGAGGTCCCCTCTCCTGAACCTCCCAGAAGCTTTGCCTTCCTGTATCCCCCTGTCAGCATTGTCGTCTTGCCCATAGGAGGCTGATCCCTAAGCCAGCTACTCCATAATTGCAGTTCACCTGTATAGAAATGGGTTTCTGACAATTACCAAGACCAGGGCATGGCTGAATTTGGAATATGCTCTCCCTGGATTTTTACCAGTCTCATGTGGTTCCAGTCAGCGCCTTGGGCCACCATTGGTATGCCAGTTGTCCTTCCAGGGAGGGATTTTGTGGTTCTTACTGGAAGGAAGCTGTGTGTGTATGTTTCACAGTCAACCTTGTCCTCTACTGTGTTTTCTACTTTTGCCTGTCTGACATTATTTACCTCTACACTGGAGCTCGATCTGAAGGCTGGCTGCTGCGCTCCACTCTGGTTAGATTTTCCTTCAGAAGGCAGCCTCTTGCTGCGTCTTGTTTACAGTGCTGCACTTGGGAAGCTTTGAGATCCACTTCCTGATTCTTTGTACATGACCTTTTTCTCCCTGGCAGTTTTCAGGGCAGCGGCTCTCTCAACCCTTCCCACACATCAGATTCCAGTGAAACAGACTGAACTGTGGCAGGGAGAGCCACTGCTATTTTTTTTTTTTTCAAGTGTTCCAAGGTGGTTTCATGATAAAACTGCACGTTGTAGCCTTCCTCACAGCCCAGCATAATGCTGGGCCTTTAGAGGATGCTGAAGGCACTTCCTCAGACTGCTCTACCTCGGTTAATAGAGACAGTCACACCCACACCTTGGGATGATGCCAGCCTCCTCCTAGGCAAACCTGAGCAATGGGTCCTCATGCCCTTGATGGGAACAGAAACAGATCTTTGTATACTACCTGCTGTTCAGTTGTCACTTATTTCTTCTTCTGAAGATTTATTTATTTATTATTGGGAAGGCAGATTTACAGAGAGGAGACACAAAGGTCTGTCTGCTGGTTTACTCCCTAAGTGGCTGCAACTGTGTTCATCTGAAGCCAGGAACCAGGAGCTTTTTCTGGGCCTCCCATGCGAGTGCAGGGTCCCTCCACTGCTTTTCCAGGCCACAAGCAGGAAGCTGGATGGAAGTGGAACAGAGGATAAACAACTAGCACTCATATGATGTCCTGGTGTATACAATGTGAGGACTTTAGCACTAGGCCACCGTGCCGGGCCCAGTTGTCACTTTCAGTCATTCATCTCTATGAGGAATTTGGACTGCACACAGACGAGGTCGCCCACCTCTGCCTCGATTCACATTGTCCTTTTGGGTCCTGACCCTCAACAGGATCTTGAGGGCAGCTGTGCTTTTTGCATCCAACACTCATTCATCACTGCTTCCTAAGTTTTTTTTGTAACCTCTGTAAGCTTAAATAGGTTCCTGTATCTTACTCTATGAGATAGGTTCCTGTATCTTACTCTATGACTAATAAATAATTGGGGGTGCCTTAAAGTGAAGAGTATTTCTTCTTTTCAAAGATATGAAGAGTGCTGACACAAAATAACAACAAAAAAAGTGAATTTCTGCACTAGGGGAGCTTAAGGATACTTGGAAACAAGTAGCATATATCTATTTAGCTATTATTAGATTTCAGCTGCAAATTATCAGCAGTTTAATAGACTGTGTGTCTCTTACCTTAAATTTGTGAAACAGCTATCACAGTCCTCTACCTCAGGCTTTCATGAATCAATCAAGATTTGTCAAGCACCTACCAAATAGTCATCATCAGGGAAGAGTGCTGTCGTAATGAATTCCTGTTAGTATCAAAGATTAAACATTAGATTCAAACACTGGCAATAAGAAAGACACTACCGTTTCCTGCTCCTCGACCTGTAATTATGAAATACGCACACCCCGAATGATCTCTCATCAGCAACATCACGAATAAAGCCTATCAGTATCTTTTAAGGGCAATTACAAAATGGCTTAGTCCCCTTGTTTTATTAAGTCACTAGAAATTTAATCTCAATGTTTAATTTTTCCCAAGCAGTTTAGATATTTCCAAGAAAGGCAATCCTGTGAAGACTGGCACTGAAGATAATAACACATTGCTTATTATCTTGTGCTTGCCTTTCTTTATCAAGACATTTCAGTTAAAATAGACCTCTCCTCCTCTCCACAACCACTCCAAGCGTGCCTCGTTCTGACTTCAGATTTATTAACAGGCAAAAGCTTTGATTTGTGTGTGTGTCATGATTTTTAAATAAGCAATTCACTTCCAGCGAAGAGCAGCAATAGGAATCCTGCAGGTTCACAAATTCCCCACCAACTTAAATTATATTAGCATAGACACAGGAGACCTTCATACCTCACAAATTCTTTTCTTACAACACCTGAAGGTTACAGAATCTAAACATGTCTACAGGAGGGTGGGGGTAGATTTCTTTTTCTTTTTTAAATAACCAAAGTCTGGGCAAGAAAAGGAAAACAGTATGTTTATTGTGGGTAGTTCTAACAAACATTCACTGTGTGCACATTCCAGCAGAAAGAGACAGAGATCTTTGTTCGAAATATGCTGCAATAAAATAGGTAAACAAACTCCATTATTGAATACACAAAAGGAATGTCAATAATGTTCATTCATACTTGAGAGTGAAGCAAACAAACAAAAAACAAAGTTAATAGTCATAATGTTTTTCCAAAATTGCAAAATGTGTTCAGGTGAGCAAATAGCAGCTACCACAACTTCAGTAAGATGCTGTAACCCAGTGTGGTAGCCTAGTGGATCCTTGCCGTGCACATGCTGGGATCCCATATGGGTGCCGATTCTAATCCCTGCACCTCGCTTCCCATCCAGCTCCCTGCTTGTGGCCTGGGAAAACAGTCAAAGATGGCCCAAAGCCTTGGGACCCTGCACCCAGGTGGGATACCCAGAGGAAGTTCCAGGCTCCTGGCTTCATATCAGCGCAGCTCCAGCTGTTGTGGCCACCTGGGGAATGAATCAACGGACGGAAGATCTTTGTCTCTCCTCCCCTCTGTATATCTGACTTTGTAATAAAAATAAAATCAATCTTAAGAAGAAGAAAGAAATACATAAGGGAAAAGTTAGAAAATGCAGATTTGCTTCTTTAAAACTTCCTTATGAGATCACCCCCCACAAATTCCACACTTGGCTTTTTAAAAAATTAATTATGTTTATTTTTGATGATAGTTTGATTAGGGTGATAAGGGTCAAGGGCTACAGAAAGGTGGGTGAGATCACAATTTCCACATTCTCTTTTTCTCCATCCTGTATCTAGGGGAAAGGTGAGGACGAGAGAAACCACAACCAGCCTCTCAAGTGCCTCTGTACCTTGGGATGGAGGAAAGCCACCTGACACCACACCAGGATCCCCTATGTGGGGCATGCTGATGGTCCTGCTCAAGAGGTTCCATAGTTCAACAGTTCTGAATTACTGCCCATCTCACTACTCCAAGCACAATGAAATCACTTCAGAACCCACAGGTTGACATAGTCCACCCTAGAGTCTCCATTTGCCCAGATATTCACTGCCAACACTTGGCTGGGATAGTTGATCAACTTGTCCTCCATCCTCTGTTATGGTACCAGGTATCCACCGCAGGCTCCAATGAACTGCCATATCCTCCATGTGCACCTGGATATGTTGTCCACTGCTCCATCTGAGCCACTGAGGAGGCTCAGCTTTGACACATGCACACCATGGTCAGACCATGGAACCTGCAATTATCTTCATGGATGAGGTTCTGAGTCCAGTGATTCAGTTGGGGGAATCACCAAAGCAATTTCATCTGAGGTGATACCAGAACTGATTCTTGTGGCACACTTGGCTCTTTAGCACAAGTGATGAATGCCAATATTTGGCATTCTTGTCTCCTAAAATGGAATGGAACCAGATGGATATCACTTGCAATTTTAAGTATGAGATACTATGATGGTAAATCCAGTCTACTAAGTGCTTTTCATTGCTCTGCAGTGGAACTAATTGATAATAAACTCATGATACTCATATGTCACAAGACATGTATTTCTGATGGCTGCTAAAATAACTGCACTGTTTCAAATTACAGGTTTCAATGGATTTTGTTTTCTCTTAAGAAGTCATATGAGAAGAACTAAATACAGTATGAACTTTGCTTCCATAACATTCTTCATCTTTTTTTAAAAATATATTTTTGTTTTTTTTATTACAAAGTCAGTTATACAGAGAGGAGGAGAGACAGAGAGGAAGATTTTTGTCCAATGACAACTCCCCAACTGACCATAACAGCCAGTGCTGCACTGATCCAAAGCCAGGAGCCAGGTTCCTCCAGGTCTCCCATGCGAGTACAGGATCCCAAGGCTTTGGGCTGTCCTCGATTGCTTTCCCAGGCCACAATCAGGGAGCTGGACGGGAAGTACGGCTGCTGGGATCAGGACCGGTGTCCATATGGGATCCAGGCACATTCAAGGTGAGGACTTTAGCCGCTAGGCCAATGTGCTGGGGCTCCCACATTCTTTATCTTTAAAAATGTATAAGTCATCTGGAAACTAAAAAGTCACGAGCTGGGAATATTCTGGGGAATGGGCACCAATATTATCCACTTTGATGGCACAAGATTTCCCTTAGTACTGACCAGCTGTGATGTGTACTCCATGGCACGCAGCAGTGACAGCCCCTTGTGCTCAACAGTAAACACCGGCCAACCAGCCCCAGGGGCTGTCAGTGACAGGGATGTCCTGTTGCTGGATCACGTGTGGAGAAGTGTTTCACTACCCAGTAATGTAAAGTTCATTTCTAGAATTCCTGTCTACTTCTGAAATAAGTCTTTTCTGTGTTACTTTTTGTTCAAGAAAACCTCTGTGAACTCTCACACAAGATCTACATTTCCATACCTGGCTGCTTATTTCCATACCTGGCTGAGGTACCATAATCACAGTAAGTGGGCCCCAAAGTGTTCTATTT